TGAAAAATGCCCTCCCTTTCCAAGTAGCTTTTTGCTGTCCTTATGGTACCAAATCTCTTACCCAGCACTGTGACACTGCTGCATTTTGTTACTTAGCTGGCTGTCCCTTCTGTTGTAGTCCTGTATTCCACTTCAACCCATTGTGCTTCATGCTTGAATTCTGAACTTCACTGGATGCAGAATAAAACTGAGCTTGTGAACTGAGCCTGGAATTGGTTATTTCATGTTCTATTACAAGTGGCATTTTGATCATGTAAGGAATTAATTCAGAAGTTGAATAGAGTTTCTTATTTTCATAAATCTTACCAAGGTCTGACAGGTATGTGTTTTTGTGGGATTTTTTTTTGTAAAATCAAGTTTTTTATGCAAGATCTTGGGGTTGTTTTTTTTTTTTACAATAACATCTTTATCAATCTATATACTTAAAAATTTAATTAGCTGTGTAAACAATATTGTTTTAACACAAAAATACAAGCAGGCTACACACTGTAAAGCACATACTGCAAGGTACACATGCTTGACCCCCAGGACAGTATTAATGAGAGCAAACTTTGAGCCTGTGTACAGGGGAGATAAAATATCTTTATAGAAAATGCTTGGCTTGGGTCAGCTTTTTCTCCCATTAGTTTTCAAATACATGTCTCTTATCCTTCCAGCCCCAAGAGGCATCAGCAAGATATACGTTACTATTACTTGGCAGAATGGATTTCATAAATAAGTACTTTTGGTATTTTGTCCTGCATTTATGTCCCCTGATAGCTCCAATTTTTTCAGGCAGGGCAAATGACATAATCACTGCCATGACTTCAAGACCCCACCACTGTGTTCTGTGCATCCTGTTAATTAGATATCCAGCTGCATGGTTTCTGGCCCCATGCAGCTTCTCTATTTATAACACAGAAGCAATCCAGCATTCAAGTTGCTAGAAAAAGCCCCTGTAAAACAGGAAGATTTCATGCTTGGAAACTGGAAAAGGAGTTATCATTTTTACAGTCTCAGGAGGCTCTGGAGGTAGCGTTCCACAAATTAAAGGGTGAAAACAGAATTACTTCTTACTAGAAAAACCAGAAAGGAAACAATAATTGTAGTATTTTTCTCATCTTGCAGAGTTTGGATTGACAACATTCAGAGCTTCAAGGACATTAACCAGTGCTTGGTAAATTTGAGAATACGGATAAGGAAGAAGTGGAGATGTTGGGGAACACAGCAATGTTACTGTAAAGCATGAGAAGGTGGCTCAGGAATGGAGGATATTTTTGAGGCAAGAAAGGATGACAGAGAAGGAGTAAGAGAATTAGCAAGCTAAAAGAGGGAAGCATAGTAACTAGCTGCCAGAGCAGATGATATAGATGGTGATGGGTACTGTGGCAGCCCACGGCCACTACTGAACAAGCTAATGTTGGACACAGTAAGCTCTATCAAAGCTGCCAGTCACTTGTTTTCATCAGTCTCCTGTGTGGAACAGTCTCAAGATTCAGCAGCTCTGTATTTTACAGATCCTTGAAGTGAGTGAGAACCACAGCTAAAGCTCCTTCCATCTGGAGGGAACACAACTTCCTTCAGAAACAGAGCTCTTTCTATTTCTTTAAATGCTAGGCTTATTATACTACTTTATCCCCAAAACATTTATAAAAAGGAAAGGCAATTCACTGTAGCTGGAAGCCTTCCCCAGCCCTTAGATTAAATCTCTGATCCCTCCCACCCTTTTTTATACAGTTTTCAGTTGCTTTTTTGTTCAGCTTGTACTTCAAAGACCATAAAGTCATGTTGAAGTTACTGTGCTTTCACATAAGGAAACTTTAATGTTTTCAAGGGGAAGGTTTAGAGAGATGTCATCCTGTATTACCCTTGTGCCCTCCAAAACAGTGGCTGTATGTAAGGAAAAAGTGATACAAGAAGGCTTAAATTAAATCTGTTGTGTTTTTGTTTACTCATTTTGATATAGTGTTCTTCCATGTCAGTAGTTTTATGGACGATTATTGCATTTTATTGGCTTAATGTAACAGTAAAACATTTTTGGAAAACAGATTTTCTGGATTTAAATTTGTAATTAAGAATTTGAGCGTAAGGTTCCTCAAATGCTATATACTAGAACTTAATAAGTTTAATAAGACATTCCTTGTTTTCCTGCTCCCTTTCCCACTGAACCTTCAAAAAGTATCCAGTTGAAGAATTTCTGAAAAAGAAGACTTGTTGCTTCTACATGCTGTTTTTTTTTGCCAGCAGCAGAGTCGAGTACCAGGTGGTTGAGTACCCGCAGACCCCTCACCAGGTGCTTGCCTGTGGACTTGGTCCTTGTCACAGGTGATGACTTGGTGAGGGGTCTGCAGGTACTCGACCACCTGGGCAATATGATCATTGCCTGCTGGAATTTACTATCCAGCGCATGGTGGTGAAAGCAAGCAGCAAGGGAGAGATCCTCAACTTCAGGAGGGCTGACTTCTGTAAGCTAAGAAGGTTAGTAGGAGAGGCATTGGGGTCTTGGAGCTTCAGTGAGGTGGAAGTCCAAGATGGGTGGTTGTTCCTTAAGGAGACAATCTGCTGAGCTCAAAGGGAGTCGGTCCCAATGCACACCAAGGGGGGCAGGAGTGCTAAGAAGCCCCCATGGCTCAGCAAAGGCATCCAGGGATGTCTGAGGGCAAAAAAGGAGGCCTACAAACAGTGGAAGCAAGGGGCTGTCACCAAGGAGGATTACACCTCAGTTGCTCGGGACTGCAGGGAGGCTGTTAGGAAGGCAAAGGCAGAGATGGAGCTAGGGCTAGTGACCAGAATTAAGAATACTAAAAAATCCTTTTTCAAATACATAGGAAGTAAGAAGAAGGCACCAGGTAACGTGGGTCCCCCTACAGGATAGGCTTGGCAATGTGGTGATTGCAGCAAATTAAAAAGCTGACATCTTTAACGAATTCTTCGCTTCCATATTCCTGAACAGGGACTGGGACATCTCCCCCACTAGAATTGTGGACAGACCGAGGGGAGGCACCTCCATGCCTAGGGTCAGGGACAACTTAGGGAACTTTTGGAGGGGCTGGATGTGTTTAAATCAGTAGGTCCAGATGCTCTTCACCTGAGGGTGCTGAGGGAATTGGCGGGGGTCATAGAGCCCCTGGCACAGCTCTGAGTGCTCGTGGGGCACTGGCTAGTTAGTGGAAAAGGGCCAATGTTGTCTCCATTTACAAGAAGGGGAGAAAGGAGGACCCCAGCAATTATAGGCCAGTCGGTCTTACCTTGGTCCTTGGGAAGTCTTTAGAGAAAATTATCAAGGAGCAGATCTCTAAGGGCCCAGCAGGGGAGGTAATGCACAGGGGCATCCAACATGGGTTCATTGAAGACAGGTCCTGCCTGACCTAACAAGGTTGCTTTTTATGATCGGGTCACAAGGTGCCTGGATGAGGGTGTTGGGGTGGATGCAGTCTGCCTGGACTTTAAGAAGGCCTATGACACGGTTTCCAACCACATTCTCTTAAAAAAAACTTGGTGACTGTGGTGTTGATGCTTATGCAGTCAGATGGGTGGCAAACTGGCTAGATGGTCGCACCCAGAGAGTGGTGGTGGACGGGTCATTTTCAACCTAGAGGGATGTAGGCAGTGGAGTACCCCAGGGCTCGGTCCTGGGGTCTTTACTGTTTAACACCCATATCAGCGATATGGATATGGGTGTGGAATGCATGCTTTCCAAATTTGCTGACAACACTAAGTTGTGGGGCAAGGTGGGCACACTGGAGGGGAGGGACAGAATCCAGCTAGATCTAGACAGATTACAATGGTGGATGGATAAGAATAGGATGGACTTCCAACGCAGACAAGTACAAAGTACTGTATCTAGGGAGAAGGAACCAGCAATACACTTATAGGCTGGGGAACACCCTTCTTGTCAACATGGCAGCAGAGCGGGATCTTGGAGTCATTGTTAACTCCAGGATGAACATGAGCCGTGAATGAGAGGAAGCAGTCAGAAAGGCTAACTGCACCTTGTTGTGCATCTACAGATGCATCACAAGCAGGTCCAGGGAAGTGATCCTTCCCCTCTGTGCGGCTTTGGTCAGGCCACAGTTGGAGTACTGCATCCAGTTCTGGGTGCTGCACTTCAAGAGGGATGTGGCTGGCATAGAGAGGGGTCAGAGGATGGCCACTCGCATGGTCAAGGGGCAGCGGGGCAGGCCCTATGAAGAGAGGCTAAAGGGCCTGAATCTATTCAGCTTCCACAGGAGAAGACTGAGAGGGGATCTGGTGGCCATTTACAAACTCACCAGGGGGGTCCAGTGGGAATTGGGGGAAGCTCTGTTCCCCTGGGCCTCACTGTAACGGCCAGAAATTGTTAGAAGGTTCAGGCTGGACATCGGGAGACATTACTTGACAGTTAGGGCTGCCATGGAATGGGGTCCCAAGTGAGGTGGTACTCTCTGCTACCTTTGGGGGTCTTCAAGAGGAGGATGGGCAGATATTTGGCTGGGATGATATGACCCCAGCACCCGTTCCTGTCAGGGGCAGGGGGTCGGACCTGATGAATGGGCAGCCTCCCGCCTTAATAAGAGCCAACTGAGAACAAGGCGTGACAGGAGAGGAAGCAAGCAGTTGGCTCAGAAACAGGTGGGCGAGCCAATGACAGACGGGCCCCGAGAGCCCCCTGTTACAGATGCCATAGAATCCAGGGGTGCCATCACATCCTTTGAAGGTTGTTGCGATGTCTAAGGATTTAGACTTTAGCAAGGTTTTTAATCCGATCTCCCATAACATTCTTGCAAGTGAGTTATGGAAGTATGGGTTGGATGAATAAACTGTAGGGTGGATAGAAAACTGGCTGGCTCATCAGGCTCAAAGGATAGTTGTTAACGCATCCACTCAGGGTACCGCCTGATCCCCTGGTTCTTGCCTGCCATGACTTGGATCTTATTAAAGAAATGGGGAGGGAAGAGATGTTTTAATGATTAGTAGCCATGGAAGAACCACACTTGGTCTATTTCATAATCTAGGTGCTTTTTTTATTCTTTCTTTTGCAGAGGACTGGAAGGGAGGCAGCGGCTCATCCGGACTGTTCCTGGGATCACCTCGGTGGCTCCGAAGTGGGTCCCCGGTGGCTCAATCTATCTGGTAAGTGCCGGCAGATGTTTTGCTGGCTTATGGCTGCGCTCATAATCGGTCCCAGCGGGTTTCCAGCTCTATGCCAGTTGCCCTATATAGGGTGTCCCCGTCTGCCTCTTCTTATGTGGGTCGCTCACGGTAACCCCCTGTATTCACAGTTGTTGCCCGCTCCAAATAATAAGGAAAAGGGAAAAAGATACAAAAGGTTTCTTTCTTCGCCCATGTCTCAGCTCCCCGCTGCCAACTAACTCATTAGTGGCTTGTTAGGGTCGCTACCCAGTCTCTTTTGCCGTGCTCTGTGCCAGCGCTGGTCCAGGAATCTCCCCACGGTGGAGTTCACAGCCGTCGGACCCAGCTTCCCTCCCCCCTCGAGTTCTGGGGTGATGGGCAAGGTTTCTTTTGGGGTCTTAGGCTTGCAACCCCCTTTTGCTTCAGCATTGCCTCGTCGCGTCCCTGTGCGGAACCACTGCTTCTTGCAGCATGGCAGCTCAGTTTTCCCTGGACTCACCGCCACTCCTGTAGGCTCCTGGTAAGTAGCGAGCATGGTTTGCCTGCCCCGGGCTCTGGAGTCCCCTGGTCAGCACTGGCTTTGGGTTGCGGATCCCTCCTTTGGATCCTTCCTCGTGGGAGCCCCCAGCAGCTGCTCTCTTCTCTTGTGGTGCCCGAAGGCAATTTCCCTAGGCATTGTCCTCTTCATATCCCTGGGCTCTGAGTCCCATTGGCTCTCCACAGGTGTGGGGCATCTCCTCGCCCCGCCGGGCCATAATCACTACCAGCTGTGAGATTTCTCAAGTAACAGGGCTTCAGTCGGGAACCCTGTTACAGTATTTTTCTGAAGTTATGGTGCAGTACTTCCTATTGTACTGCAAAATTGAGTTAAATAACCTTTTTTTCTTCAGGAAGTCATCTAGTTCAGCCCCCTGCTCAAAGCAGGACCAATCCCAACTAGATCATCCCAGCCAAGGCTTTATCTACCTCATCAGATCTTAAACCTCCAAGGATCAAGGTTCTTCAGCCTTTCTGGGTAATCTGTTCCAGTGCTTCACTACTCTCCTCGTGAGACTGCTTTTCCTAATATCTAACTTCAACTTCCCTTGCTGCAACTTGAGACTGTTGCTCCTTGTTCTGTCATTTGCCGCCACTAAAAATCATTTAGCTCTGTCCTCTTTTGAACCACCCTTCAGGCTACTATTAAATCCCTTCTCAGTCTTCTCTTCTCTAGACTAAATAAGCCCAGTTCCCTCAGCCTCTCTTCAGAAGTCATGTGCTCCAGCCCCCTCACCACTTTCATTGCTCTCTGCTGGACTCTGCAATTTGTCCACATCCTTTCTTCTGGGGGGGCCCAAAACTGAACATAGTACTCCAGATATAGCCTCACCAGTGCTGAAGTTTAGATATTGAGAACAATTTACTCATTAGAAAGGTATTTTGCTCCAATCCACTAATTCCTTGAGGTCTCTCTGAATTTTATCCCTACCCTCCAGATCATTGAGACAAAATAACATACAGCTATTCAGTACTTTAAAGCAGGGTTGGGCAAAATACGGCCAATGAGGCCATTTTATTTGGCCTCTGGGGCCCCTAAAAATGTAGAAAATTAATATTTCTCTGTCCTTGGTTCCTGTCAAAAATGACAGGAACCAAGGACAGTAGGACCCAGGGGAAGCCCAGTGTGTTCCAACAACAGCCGGCCTGCCTGGCTAGTGCTTCCTGGTGTAGCCGCTCGCAACCCATGCGGGGCTGTCCGGAGCAGGCACAGGCAGCCCCAGGCTGTCTGCGAGTGGCTGCAGTGTGGGGCACTGGGCATGCGGTGGGCGAGGGGCTGCTTCTCACGCTCCCACCCCCGTGCTCAGCACCACATTGTAACTCAGCCCCACTGCCAGGCTGGCAGCAGGGCTGGGTTACAAGCTGGTGCTGAGCACAGGAAAGAGCGGCCCCTCACTCTCCGTGTGACCAGTGCCCCGCGCTGCAGCCACTCGCAGCTGTCCTGGGACTGCCTGTGCCTGCTCCAAACAGCCCCGCATGAGCTGTGAGCGCCTGCAGCAGGGAGCGCCGGCCATGGGGTGGGTGAGGGGCCGCTTTTCCCCGTGCTCAGCACCAGCTTTTTCCCTGCCAGTGACCAGGGGGTCAGGGCTGTGCGCTGCCCCTCACCTGTAGCTTGGGGCTGGGGGACACTGGGTGTGAGTGGGCCAGTGGGAGCATGGTGCCCACACTGGTGCCCCAGGGTCAGTGCCAGCAGGGCCCAAAGCAGGGTGGCAGGAGCATGGGATCCTAGCTGGCAGGGGCTCTATGGAGCCGGGCTAGCTCCCCCCTCTCCCTGCTGGTGCAGCCCAGCCCAGCTCCACAGACCCCTGCCAGCCTGTGCCCCATTCTGGGTCCCACCAATGCTGGCCCCGAGACATTGGTTCCAAGATGGTGACATGGGGTCGGGGCACCTGTCAAGGTGCGGGGCTACCCATGCAGCCCTCGACAGCTTGCCAAAACTGAGTAAATGGCCCCTGCCCAAAATAATTGCCTGCCCTTGCTTTAGTACCTCATATTGGAGGTATTAAATTTAATGTGCACTAGGAAAAGTGCCTGAATGCACATGTAGACACACTCCTTGTGTCCTTATATAATAATCCTTATTCTACTTTTCTTTTATACTGATCCAGGGCCAAAG